AACGAAGCCAAGGATCATAGTATTTATATCTCCACTTTGACATCACTACTCTCTTTGCCACCCTGTACACACTACCTCCCTCATCATCTTCCCAAGTGTGAAAGACCCAACTCAGATGCCACCCTCTCTGAGAAGTTTTTCCTGCTTCTTCCAGCAGAAATTGATGACTTTTTTGAGCTTCCAAGAGATTTTGTTTCTGCTGTCAATTTAACATCTGATTTAGAGGTGTGCATTCCTGCCTTCACAACCAGAGGCTCCATTCGTTGTGTTACTGCATGAACAAGACATATTAAGTTGAGGAGAGAGAGAGAGAGACCCAAAGGCTTTCTTCAAGGAATTTTTAAAAATGCACTGCTTTGGGACCATACTTCTAATGAGCACTGGACCCTATTCAGTTTTTTCTCTTTTTTGTATAGGCCCTAAATGCTTGTAGATGGTCCATTTGTATGTCACTTCTTATCACTGGGTATCAGAGCAACTACATAATTAGAGGAAAGTGGGTCACGTGGCATGGGAAAAGCAATGCTTCTTCAAGAGGTAAGCAGTGAGTGCCAGATGTACGTAGAGGAAGAAAGGAGGATAAATTTGATGAGATTCAGAGGGCTTACCTTGCTTGGCCAAAGTTATTGAACCAATACAAGACAGAACCAAAACTGAAATCTAGGACTTGTGTGTACAAGTGCAGAACGCCATGCAACACATTGAACTTAGCTCTACGGGCAAAAGAGCTCCCAAGCTGTGACACTGCAAGCAGGGGAATGAAGGGGGAGCGAGGGGGTCATGACCACACCCTGCATCTTGTTTGTCTGGGGATGGGGGATGGAAGATGGAGGGAGCTTATGTAATACAATGAACTTGGACATGAAATAGGAAACAGCTGTGGTCTCCCTTGCCCCACTCATCTGATTCTCTGTTTACCAGTTTCTCCTTGAGCCCAAAAAGGAACTGAGAACAAGACCAAACATCACCAACCAGTTCCTGCCCCAGTACATCTCAGGACAGATGCTATGTGATGAGCCTGCAGATGCTAGGGGTGGGGGATCAGGCAGAGCTGTTTCATCAGCTGGCCAAGTGGTCCCTACACAATGAGAAGACTTCCACTCAGATTTACAGAGAGAAGGAGAGACAGAAAGATCTTCCATCAGCTGTTTTACTCCCCAAATGGTCACATCAGCTTAGTCAAGCTGATTCGAAGCCAGGAGTCAGAAACTTCTTCTGGGTCTCCCATATGGGAACAGGGTCCCAAGACTTCGAACCACCCTCCACTGTTATCCCAGGCCACAGGTAGGGAGCTGGGAAGGAAATGAAGCAGCCAGGACACAAACCAGCACCCACATGGGAGCCTGTTGCTTGTAAGGGGATTAGTCAGTTGAGCCATTGCACCGGCCCAGTTACTTCCTCTTGACAAAGGCACCTTCCTAGGGAAGAAGGCCTTGTGTTTGTGAAGGCACAGACTTCTAAGCTGTGACAGGATTTAGGGATGTGACTGTACGTCCCTAGGTAGTTAACCTTCACTTCTCTCTGTGCTCCTGGCCAGTGGGCCCTGGCAGTGAATGCGCACAGCTGTCTTCTCTGGTCCACAGCTTACTTGCTGTAGTCTTTCACAGTGTTGTCTCCCAGTCACTCCATCACCGTTCCAAGCCCTTACTCCGTGTCCCTTCCAAACTGCCTCTAGGATGGAAGATTGGCTTTTTATTTCCTTCTCCGACTAAGACTTGATGATAAATTAACTCTTACTACAATTCTGTGACATGGATATGCTATTCTTGTTTCAAAGATGAAGGAACTGGGGCCAGAGCTGTGGCACAGCAGGCTAAACCTCTGTAACTGGCATTGGCAACCCATATGGGTGCCTGTTTGTGTTCTGGATGCTCCACTTTTAATCCAGCCCCAAGCTTTCACTTGGGAAAAGCAGCTGAGGTTGGCCCAAAGCCTTGGGACCCTGTATCCATGTGGGAACCTAGAGCTTCTGGGTGTTGGCTTTGGATGGAAGATCTCTCTCTCTCTGTCCTCCTCTCTTTAATTCTACCTTCCAAATGAAAGTAAATGTATATATTATATATATAATTTATATATCTAATTTTATATAAAATATATAATTTTATTATATAATATAATTATTATATTAAATATATTATATATAATTATTTTTATAATGAAGGAATGGAGACTTAGGGAAATCAAACCACTTTGCAAGAGCACAGGATCACATTGGAAGAAGCAGGGCCTGATACAGTTTGGGACTGAGACCTGGGCTCCTTGGACTCAGATGGCGACAGAACCAAATCTGCACCCATCACTTCCTGAGCAACTACCTGCTGCTAATAAACACAGACAGCATCACAGAACTCTGCTGTGATCACCCATTTCTACCCTTGTTCCATGTTGTTGTTACTTGGGAGCTTCAGAGTGCATTTCATGTATTTCTCTGTAACTGTCTTAGATCTTAAGTCCCCTTAAGAACATAACTATAAAAATAGACAATCAGTTTCAGAATGGGCAAGGGAGGGCACTGGCAACATGCCTGAAGGGAACGAGGAACTTGTCTTTGAACCGCGAAGGGGAGGTGGTGGGACAATAAGGGGGAAACCACCTGCTCACTGCCAGGCAAAGTTCTGTGTATCCAAAGTGTTTTTAAAGATGATGACTACATTCCAGAAACCAAAAGATGCTGAGAAGCAACCGGTGAGTGAGAAGGCTGGCTGACAGGTGTCCTCAAGTGATGAGCCATGTTACATGGAACGACTGCCTTCTCAAAATGCAGGTCCTCATACAGCTGATGACCTCTTAGTGATGACAAGGAACTGTGTCTCCTCAGTGCTTAGCAGGATTGCAGGATCACTGGTGATATCATAAACAGATAAATCCTGTATGCTTGTTGGGGGGTGAGGGAGAGGAGCTACCACTCCCCAGGCAGAGGGCTTCTTCCCCATTCATTGACAAGCAGTACCCAACTCGCTCTCTAACGACTATTTTTCCCACACATCTCATTTTTCCGTATTAAGGAGATGCAGAAAAACATCATGCATCTTGCAAAAAGATCACGTGCGCCACCTAGCGACCAACAGCACAACTACAGCTGTTAAATGAACAGGCATTTTTATTTATTTAGTGCTTTAAACTTTGTGGGCATTCAGTACAAATAGAGATGTATTCCCTACTTCCATTCTTAAAGAAAATCACAACAATCTTTGGAACTTGAGGAAGGGAAATTATTTCCTGATAGAAAACTAACACAGCTAAGAGGTGATAGGATATTACAATAAAAAAAGTTAAGGAAACAACAACAAAAACAGAAAAAAAAAAAAGAAATAAAAATAAAAGGATGATTAAACGTCAGTAGATGGAGCCTTAAAATTTTATTTTCTTCTCCATAAATATAAATCTCTGTCATGGCTAACAGTCAATCTTAGCAATGCTGGTTTTAACAAACACACACTAAAAGAAGTGTGTGTGCCTATCACGGAGGTCTCCCTCACAATGCTAGTTCCCAGAACTAATCCATCAATGGTCTCATGCAGGTCTTTCAATGTTTTCCAGATCCATACATGTTTTACATAAATGAGCTCAGATATATTTTCAATTTGTAAAGCATCTTTCCCTTTCTAAACTGACTTCACATTGTTGTCCAGAATCACTTTCCATGTTACGTGTCTTAGTAGTTGCCTCGTATTTCCCTGAGCAGCTGAAACCACCTACCTAACCCATGACTTCCTCGCAGTTATCGAGATGGTCCTGGTTTTTCACTGTAATAAACAACTTGTGTTGTCTTTCTGTCACGAGACGGTTTCCACTCGAGGGATCCACAGTCCTCTGCAGGGCTGTCACACACCGACGCGGGTCACCACGGTGAGACACAGGTCGCAGACAGCAAAGGGAACTTGCGCATGAGCAAGGTCCAGGAGAATGCAGAGACCAGCTTCCAGACATCCTCTTACCAAGCAATCCTACAGCAGAGTGCTTAATTCTCCCACCAATGTGTGACGCCTTGTGCCGAGAATTGCCAAAAAGGAAGCTCAGCCAGGCCTGGGGTCCATGTCTGTGTGTGTGTTGGGGGATTGGGGATCAGCACAGGGCATGCATGGTTTGTATAATGAGCTCCAGCCTCCCAGAGGCCCTGGGGCAACAGGATATACAACTAGACCCTTCCCAGAATCCACCCTGGTGGCATGACTCATCTAGTCCACCTAACACCGCATGGGGATTGGAGCTGCGCTGGAGCCAGAGTTCTTTTTTTTTTTTTTTTTTTTGGAAAGCGTAAGACTTGAGTAAGCTGAGCCTGCACATGAACCCAGAGGCAACTTCCAATGATTCCCGCAGGTCAGCTTCCAAATGTGAGCCGCATATTGCCTGCCTTCTCTTCAGGCAAAACTTGCTGAAACTGACTCGTTTTCTCACACAACCATCCTCACTCTGAGCAAACAAACCAGTATTCTTTCATGAAAGAAAAGAAAAGAAAAGAAAAGAAAAGAAAAGAAAAGAAAAGAAAAGAAAAGAAAGAAAGAAAGAAAGAAAGAAAGAAAGAAAGAAAGAAAGAAAGAAAGAAAGAAAGAAAGAAAGAAAGAAAGAAAGAAAGAAAGAAAGAAAGAAAGAAAGAAAGAAAGAAAGAAAGAAAGAAAAGAAAAGAAAAGAAAAGAACGGGTGGGAACGCTTGCTATCTCCTGCTACCAGACAGATTCCCGTCTCCCCACTCCTTCCCCTCCCTGTCCTCTGGTTGCCATGGAAAAGGTGACCCCTGCATCAACTCTGGGTCACATTCTATCACCCTAGTTCATCCAAGGGCTCCTGTTATCCTGTATCTTTAACTTCTTTTCTCTTAGTCCCTGTACCAGAACCTGGGTCGAAAGGTCTTACGTTTCCCAAACCCCTATTCCGGCCGACCACATGGTCCTCCGAGGGCGCTGCCGAGTCGCCGAGGTCTGCGGATGACGGGGAGGGGCACTCTAGCCTCCCGCCACTCGGTGGTAGACAGCGCGGCGGCCGAGCCTCCGGGGGCCGCCATGTTGGACGCTCAGGGTTCCAGCCATGGTTGCCAAGGCCCGAATCCGAGCGAGGACGCGACCGGCTGCCCCGCGCACATGTTGGAAGTGCGGCCGGGGCTGTACCTGGGTGGGGCCGCGGCCGTCGCCAAGTCGGACCAGCTCAGGGCGGCGGGGATTACGGCCGTGCTGACGGTGGACTCGGAGGAGCCCTGTTTCACGGCACGGGCTGGAGCCGAGGGTCTGCGGAGCCTCTTCGTGCCTGCGCTGGATAAACCCGAGACCGACCTGCTCAGCCACCTGGACCGGTGCGTGGCCTTCATCGGCCAGGCCCGCTCGGAGGGCCGTGCGGTGTTGGTGCACTGGTGAGTGGGCGGGACACTCTCCCCGGCCGGTGTCCACCATCTGCTCCTGGGAGGACCTGCTCTCCGTGGGGTGTGTGTGTGTACAGCACCTGCTCCTGGGAGGACCTGCTCTCCGCGGGGTGTGTGTGTGTGTGTGTGTGTGTGTCCACCTGCTCCTGGTGTGTGTGTGTGTGTGTGTCCACCTGCTCCTGGTGTGTGTGTGTGTGTGTGTCCACCACCTGCTCGTGGGAGGACCTGCTCTCCGCGGGGTGTGTGTGTGTGTGTGTGTGTGTGTGTCTCCACCTGCTCGTGGGAGGACCTGCTCTCCGCGGGGTGTGTGTGTGTGTGTGTGTGTGTCCACCTGCTCCTGGGAGGGCCTGCTCTCCGCGGGTGTGTGTGTGTGTGTGTGTCCACCTGCTCCTGGGAGGACACTCTCTCCGCGGGGGGGTGTGTGTGTGTGTGTGTGTGTGTGTGTGTGTGTTTTCAGGGTGTGTGTGTGTTTGCTTTCCTTCCTGGGGTCACTCACCACCTGGTGTGTTCAGGAGGTGGGGGCTTGGCGTCAGCTGGTAAGTGACAAAGTCCTTACAGCCCAAAGCGTTTACAGTTCCGTGGAGTCAGATACTCCAGTGGCTAAGTGTTCTGACTTCAGAGGAAGAGCGGATCATTTTTAATGTTTTTGCTTAGGATAATGTGTGTGGGGGCTGTTGGTGAATTGGAGAATAGGTTAGGATCTAAAGGGTCCTGTAGGTCTTGCTGAGAGGCCAGATGAGACTTTCAACAGAAATAAAAAAATCTTGATGGGTATTTGGGAGTCCCTAGGGAGCACTGTTTGTTTGGATTGAATTAGAGCTTAGTAACAGTACTTTCAGTTTATTGAGTAAATTATTGTGTGCCAAGCACTTGTTCTAAATATTTACATAGAAATTGAATCATACCTGGTATTGGATCTCCAGGGCCTTAAATGCCAAGAGTGAAGAAATTTGCATTTGTTCCAAAGCTATCACAACATTAAAAAAAAAAGCGTAATTCATTTTGAAAAGATGATACATTCTTATACTTCAGAATACAAAAAGAATAAGGAAATAGCAGCAGGTCTTTAAGCCCAATTGTTGAGATATTAACATTACACAGAGAATATTTAGGTTTGATTCTGGCTTCCAGGCCCTGGGAGGCAACCTTGAGAATCCAAGAAAATGGGTTCCAACCACCTCTATGGGAGACCTTGGTCATTCCAGGTGGTGGGGAATAGATGCTGTCCTTTTGCCTCTTAAAAAAAAAAAATAGGTGATACAGGAATAATTTGCTTGTATATTGGTAGTATTTCATCATACATAATGAGTTTATTTGACTAGAAGTAGAAATGAAGTGGATTGTAGTTTTACTGTTAAAAGGGGGCCAGGTTTTGTTTTAATTGCTGGTATTTACTATTTTATTTTGAAGGCTTCTTTTTCAGTCATGCAGGAGTCAGTCGCAGTGTGGCTGTAGTGACAGCTTTCGTGATGAAGACGGACCAGCTCAGCTTTGAGGAAGCCTATGAGAACCTCCGAACCATCCAGCCAGCGGCCCAGTGAGTTCTTTGTTGGATTCATACTTCTGCTTTTGGCATGCGGTTTCACTGAACAAACATTGGGGTTTATATTTCTTTGTCATTTCAGGATGAATGAAGGGTTTCAGTGGCAACTGAAATTGTACCAGGCCATGGGATGTGAGGTGGACACCTCTAGTACAATTTATAAGCAATATCGTTTGCAGAAGGTTACAGAGAAGTATCCAGGTAAGTGACGTTAATTGCCAGTGTAAACAGAGTGTTTTCTATTGTTACCAGAGACAGTTAGACCAGAGGTCCTTGCTTCTAGTCAAAAGTGCATTTCAGCTACCAGAGAGTGGCTATGAGGTAGAGAAGTTTACTGACAAGAAACACCAGACAGGCATCTCAGTAAAGAACTGAGAGCCAGTGCGAGTTTTTGGTGGTATGAATCTACCATCGTCTCTTTCTCCTCTGCTCCCCTTCTGGAATGTTGTTGGGCAAAGGGCTTTCTGTGTGTGGAATTTGTGACATTCCTTCAGTACTTTATCAGCACAGTGTAACTGAGTTTAAAGCTCCTCTGGTGCAGAGTGGGGAAGATGGTCCTAAGTAGCCCTTCCGGGGCTGGGACGACGTAACAAGGTACCATGCTTGTCTGCTACTGAGGCCTGCTGTTACATTTCTTCCCTCATCCAACCACATGAAATTCCTGTTTTTGCTTTTTAGTCTTTCTAACGTCGATAGGCGGTTATCTGACTTCCTATTTACTAATACTAACTGCATTATCTCGTTTTTCCAGTGATCAAATCAGACAGGAAGTTTTCTTTTGAAATTGTAGTACATCCAGAAATGTTGTCCAAGGCCACATGGTTTGTAAATGGTAGAGCTGGGGTTTGAACTTGTGTCTGTACCCAGAAGCCAAGAGATTAATTTCTGTGCTTCTTGACTTTATCCTAATTTCCCAATACGGTAAATTAAAAAAAATTTTTTTTATTTCAGAGGTTAGCATTTGATGCTTCAGTTAAAATTTTTTTGTTGTTGTTGTTCCTATAAAAAAGTACCTGAGGTTGGGTAATTTGTAAACAAAAGGAGTTTTTTGAGCTCACAGTTATGAAGGCCCAGGGACATGATGCCAGCTTCTGTTTGGGTGACTCCATCACCACCTAGAATTGACACGGAAGTATATGTCAGACAGAACAATTATAAGGTCAGATTCAGAGGTCAGCTGCTTTTTTTGTTGTTGTTTTTTAAGTTATACAAATTTTTATAAATTAATTTAAAGAGGATTTATTTGTTTACTTGAAAGAGTTATATTTAGAGAGATGGAGAGACAGAGAGAGAAGGTCTTCTAGGTGCTGAATCCTTCCCCAAGTGGTCATGAGCTGGACTTTGGGAGCTAGCAGTGTTTTCCTGGTGTCCTATATGGTATAGGGCCCCAACAACTTGGACCATTCTACATTATATGCCCAGGCCATAAGTGGGGAATTGGAATGAAAGTAGAGCAGCCAGGACACGAACTGGCATTCATATAGGATGCAGGCGCTGTAAGCAGGGGATTAGCATGCTGCGTCACCATGCCAGCCCCGGGCCTGCTCCTTTTATAATGATTTGTTCTAGGAGCCAGTCAGGTCTTGCAACAATTTCATTAATCCTTTCCAAGAACAGTTGCTTCAGTGTCTTAATCTTCTACTAGGTTTGCATTTTAGAGGTTCCACCACTTGTCTATATTGTTATACTGGGAACCAAACTTCCAGCACATGAAGCACTGTGGGATGTTTCCAGAGATAGCTGGATCAGAGGTCCTTGTTTTCTGTGCATGAAAGGAATTTCAGATGTGAGACAAAGTAGCAATAAGAATGCTAGTGAAGTTTATGAAAATAATATGTCTGGTGGTCCAGGTGGGAATCTCAGCAAAGAGCTGAGAACCCAGTCTGCATTCAGACTAGACTCTTTATAGAGGTGAGCCCACTGTTTCTCCTCCCAGTAGCTACTTTGGAGATATTGCTAGGTGGAGAGCTTTTTAGGAATGGAAATTATGAAATTTCTCCAGGGACTTTATTAGCACAATATTATTGGACAGTAGCTCTCCTGGCACAGGGCGGGGACGAGTGCCTTAATTTTGCTCCTGGTAGTGGAGGATGAAGGGAAGGCTGGGACCCCCTAAAAAGGTTATTGGACTTGGGCAAGACTTGTGCAAATGGTGGTCTGTTCGTATGCTTCCAAGATATGTTTCTGCGTTTCTTTCCTCACTTATTCAACCACATAATCTTCAAATTTTTGTTCTTCGGCCCCTCTTCTTTCTGCCCTTCTCCCCCACCACCAATCCTCCTCTGCCAAGCTATTATAACTTGCTGCCTAACTCCTCCTTCAAGAGAAGTAGCCTGTAATCTTATGGTGTTGGAATGGGCTATGGTCTGTATAGAGATGGTTATGGTGGGTATTTTTCTCTTATTGTTTGACCTGTGATGTTCAGAGGTGACCTGGGAAAATATTGTCCTGTGCAGTCCAGAGAGCTGGTCACATTGTCCAGTGGGAGAGGCTGGAAGCCCCACCTCATGACCGTTGTGGAGCTGGACAGCTTGTCTATTGGTAGAAAACACACAAGGAGATTAAACACATGTGATCCAAATAGAAATAGTAATAAATGGAAGTTATAGGGTCAAGGAAAGGCAACAACTAGGATTTCCATGACAATGTTGGGCCACAAATTCTAGTCCTATTTATTATCCTGAAGAAACAGTGAATATGGTTTTCTACCTGTCTCATTTGACCTGAAAGCAACATTTTTTATGGAACATGGCATCGATGTTCTGTTGGGCAACAGTTCACATGTCAAAGGCGTATTTTGAAGGACTGGTCTTGACAGACTGTGTCATGTGAGCTCAAGGTATGGCAGCTTTGAAGGCTGTCTTCTTTCCCAAAGGAGGGGGTCCTGTTCTGGTTTGTGCTTGAGGGTCTGCTTATTTAAAGGCTTTGCTATTTCCCCGTACTTTAGAATTCATAGCCTCAGTGTCCTGTCAGTTGGAGCTGTCTTGAGGTCATAGGGGAAGGACATTATTGTATAGCCTAAATCCTTCCCAGTGCTAGCCTTCATTTCCCAGCGATAAGCCATGACTGGTTACCTTTCTGGATAGCTGGTAGTCATTCCTCCAGAAAGTTAAGAGTGTTAGTTAAATAAACAACACCTAAGTCTCAGGTTGGGGAAAGATGAGCAAGTCATCTACATGTTGGATTAACTTCTGCCCTCTTCAAAAGATAGGGCCTTAAGAGCATCTATAAAGGTCCTGCCTGAATAGGTGGAGTCTGTTTCTGAATCCCAGTGGAACCACTGTACAAGTCAGCTGTTGTTAAACCACTTAAAGGTAGATCTTTAAGATCTTTAAGCAGGGTTGAGATTGGGCGTTGAACCTTGGCTGTGGAACCTTCCATCTCCCTGACATTTGACACATTTGAGACATTTGAGAGAGAGGGTAGTGAGCAGTTAATAACAGGTCATAAACAAGATGAGGAGGACCAAGAGTGCCTAGGCAGTGAGTTTGAAAGAAAGAATGTTGAGCTTGGTTTCTTGTAAAGGTACTTCTGATGGCACTGGCTATGGGAACTAGGCAGGTATCTGAAAATGCCAGGCTGATACTAACAACTGGATATATTTTAATTATGTTATAGAATTACAGAATTTACCTCAAGAACTCTTCGCTGTTGATCCAACCACTGTCTCACAAGGATTGAAAGAGGAGATTCTCTACAAGTGTAGAAAGTGCAGGTAAAATACTTTGTATTCTTTAGCAATTTTTTTTCTAAATGGCAGAAAAGAATTTGGCATGTTATTTTCATATATATCTGTAGGAAGATTTTAATTGAATAATACAGAAATTTCTAGTTCAAATTTGTTTTTAAGAAGAATCTAAATTTTTAAAAAGCAAAATTATCAAATTGAAGGAATAATTGAAGACTTAAGTATAGCCAATATTACGTTATTTCATAATGTAAGAAATAGATTAGGAATTTCTATTCTAAAGCCAGACTAAGAAATTTAGTCTACCTTTGAAATCCTTTTGGAAGTCACTAATGTTTCTGATTGGGGATTGCAGGCGATCCTTATTTCGAAGCTCTAGTATTTTGGATCACAGTGAAGGAAGTGGACCTATGGCTTTTGCTCACAAGAGAATGGCACCAACATTCATGGTTGCCACGGGGACTCAGTGTACATCCTACTTCATTGAACCTGTACAATGGATGGAATCTGCTTTGTTGGGAGTCATGGATGGGCAGGTCAGTACGCAATTTTATTTTTCACAATTTTGTTGCATTATCTACATTTTGTTTTGCATCTTAACTAGTGTTTTACTCCATCTTTTTTTTTTTTTTAATAAAGATTTATTTATTTTTGTTGGAAAGGCAGATATACAGAGAGGAGATGCAGAAAGATCTTCCTTCTGCTGGTTCACTCCTCAAGTGGCCACAAAGGCTGGAGCTGAGACAATCTGAAGCCAGGAGCCAAGAGCTTCTTTTTGGTCTCCCATGCGAGTGCATGAGAGACCAAAGACTTTAGGCCATTTTTTTGTTGTCCTCCCAGGCCTCGAGCAGGGAGCTAGATGGGAAGTGGAGCAGCCGGGACACTAAGCAGCACCCATATGGGATCCTGGTGTGCAAGGCAGGGATTCAGTTACTAGGCTATTGTGCAACCCCCACCCCCTCCTTGTTTTTTAGGGATTTATTTATTTATTGTAGAAAGGCAGATTTACAGAAAGAAGCAAAGATAGGAAGATCTTCCATCTGTTCGTTCGTTCTCCAAGTGGCTACAACAGCTGGAGCTGAGCTGATCTAAAGCCAAGAATAAGAAGCTCCTTTCAGTTCTCCCATGCGTGTACAGGGTAATAAGGTTTGGCCTATTCTCTGCTGCTTTCCTAGGCCACATGCAGGGAGCTGGAGCAGCTGGGACATGAACCGGCACCTATATGGGATCTCGGTACTTATGAGGGGAGGATTAGCTAAATGAGCCATTGCACTGGGCCTAGCTCCATCTTAACTCCTTTCTTTTTTGGAAATTATGTTTTTACTTATTGAAAGATGTATTTTTTTTTTGTTTGAAAATAAACAGAGACAGACAAAGGTCTTTAGTCTGCTAGTTTACTCCCCAAATGGCCGCAACAACTAGAGCTGAGCTAATCTGAAGCCAGGAGCCAAGAGCTTCTTCTGGGCCTCCCTTGTGGGGGCAGGGCTATGCTCCATCCCATCCCATGCCACAAGGTGGGAACTGGATAGGGAAGTGGAGCAGCAAGGATATGAATTGGTGCCCATATGGAATGTCAGCACTGGCAGGTGGATAATTAGGCTGCTGAGATACTGTGCTAGTCCCTATTTTATTTAAATATTTTCTTATTTTTACTTGAAAGGCAGAGTAACAGAGAGAGAAGGAGAAACAGAGATTTTCTACCTGCTGGTTCACTCCCCATATGGCTACAGTAGCTGGAGCGGGGCTAGTCTGAAGCCAGGAACCAGGAGCTTCTTCTGGGTCTCCTATATGGGTGTGGGATCCACTGATATGGATCACATCTGCTTTCCAGGCCATTAGCAGGGAGTTGGATCAGTGGTGATGCTGCTGGGACATGAGTTGCTGCCTGTATGTGATACCAGCATTGCAGGCAGAGGTGCTTGCTATGCCACTGCGCTAGCCTCCAGGATTATAGTTTTATAGTGTAGAGTATACTAAAAGTTTTATAGAACAGCTGATCTGAAATAGTAGTTAAAATAAATATGTTTTAGAAAGTTTGAACTTGGGCCCGGCGCGGTGGCGCAAGTGGTTAAGTCCTCGCCTAGCACGCCCGGGATCCCATATGGGCGCCGGTTCTAATCCCGGTCAGCCCCGCTTCCCTTCCAGCTCCCTGCCTGTGGCCTGGGAAAGCAGTCCAGGACGGCCCAAAGCTTTGGGAACCTGCACCCGCGTGGGAGACCCGGAAGAGGCTCCTGGCTTCGGATCGGCATAGTATCGACCCGTTGCGGCTCACTTGGGGAGTGAATCATCGGACGGAAGATCTTCCTCTCTGTCTCTCCTCTCTGTATATCCGCCTTTCCAATAAAAAATAATAAAAATAAATCTTTAAAAAAAAAAAAAAAAAAAGTTTGAACTGTGTAACAAGTAGTTTTAACTCAAGAACTTTCAAATTGGGTTTAAAATATCTTCTATTGGCCTGGCATCATGGCTCAATTAGATTGCGGATCCTCCCCTGCAAGCGCCAGGATCCCATATGTGTGTCAGTTTGTGTCCCAGCTACTCCACTTCCTGTCCAGCTTTCTGCTTGGGGCCTGGCAAAGCAGTAGGATAAGCCAAGTTCTTGGGACCCTGCACCATTGCGGGAGACCCAGAAGCTCCTGACTCATCTCTGACTGTTTTGACCATTTGGGGAGTGAAACAACAGATAGAAAATCTCTCCTCTCTCCTTTCTGTAAATCTGTCTTCCCAATAAAAATAAAATAAATTTTAAAAAGAATAAATAAACTGGTCATGGAAAGCAAGTACCAACCAGTACACTTTAAAAAAAGCAGAAAATAAAAAGTTAAGATATCTTACATTTTTTTTTTGCTAACTCCATATATTATATTTTAATATCTATATATTTTAAGATTTGTTTTTATTGGGAAGCCAGATATACAGAGAGAAGAGAGACAGAAAGAAAGATCTTCCATCTGATGATTCACTCCCCAAGTGAGTGCAACGGCTGGTGCTGTGCCAATCCAAAGCCAGGAGCCAGGATCTTCTTCCAGGTCTCCCACATGGGCTGTCCTCAACTCCATTCCCAGGCCACAAGCAGGGAGATGGATGGGGAGCGGAGCTGCCGGGATTAGAACCGGTGCCCATATGGGATCCCGGCGCGTTCAAGGTGAGGACTTTAGCCACTAGGCTATTGCGCAGGGCCCAACTCCATGTGTTTCTCTGTTTCTGATCTTTATGCTTTGTATGTTATGAGATTTTGTTTTCATTTCTTGTGCAAGAATGCAGCTCATAATCCTGTAATAGCCACTTTTTCCTTTTTGTTTATTTGACAATAGTCTGAAGGCATTCTATAGAAATGGTTTTAATAATGAATTTGAAAATTTGTATAGAAGTTTGTATAAAGGATGTTTAATGAAGCTCTCACTATTTCGTCTCATTTGAATATAATGACTTTATAAAGTAGGCAGACCGTTTATAGCCATATTTTGTACATGGGGAAACTTGATTTATTTAGTGAGTGTCTTGCTTAAAAGCAGCACCCTATATTCAAATGTACATTTTCAGATTTTGTTATTTTCTTTAAAAATAGCTTTATTAGGGTATATAATTTGCATATCATGTAATACACCAATTTAAAGTGTTCAATTCAACAGTTTTTGATATATTCAGAGTTTTTTGCAAGTGTTGCCATTCTTATTACCTTAAAAATAAAATATCCAGGAGCATTCATTTCCATGTTTTTTCTTTCCCCATTTTCCATTCTTTTGGCCCTATTTGCAGTAATAATTTAAGATTTTGGTTAGCTGCAGTACATGTGCTTTCGGCTGGCTGCTTACATTTAATTTGGAAAACATGTACACATTTTAACACATTTTTGTGAGATTGTAAACCATATTTGTAGATTTCTTTTTTACATATTTAAGTTTTGCTATAGGAATATACTTGGAAGTAGAATTCTTGGCTTGATAACTGTGCATTTTAAATATTGGTGGTATTCCATGCTGACTTTCAAAATGCTCACGCATATTTATTTTTTACTAATAGTGAATATACCCATTTTCCCATAGCTTTGTCAAGATCGATATAAAACTGGTAGAGAAGTGTTGTGTGTCATGAACATTTTGGTCTTAAAGTATCTAATGTGATTTTAATGACTACCTCTGAGGACGAACATTCCTGTGTATTTATTTATCAGTCATCTGTCGTTTGCTCTACAAGTTATTTTACCATCCTTGGTCTATTTTCTATGAATTTTATCTTTTTCTTGCTGATATGTAGGAACTCTAAATACTGTAATATTCCATCTAGCATATGGAATTATTTCCCTAGTCTATTACTTATCTCAAATCAGTGGTATAATTTTAATAAACTTGGATACTATTTAGTCTTTTTCATTTACGGTTTATAACTGTTATATCTGGACTTCCCATAGTTTAAGATTAAAAGTAGGGCCCAATGTGGTAGCCTAGCAGCTAAAGTCCTCGCTTTACATGCACCGGGATCCTATAGGGGTGCTGGTTCTAATCCCAGAGGTCCTGCTTCCCATCCAGCTCCCTGCTTGTGGCTGGGAAAGCAGTCGAGGACAGCCCAAAGCTTTGGGACCCTGCATCTGTATGGGAGACCTGGACAAGTCTCTGGGCTGCTGGCTTCGGATTGGCTCAGCTCCTGCCATTGTGTCCACTTGGGGAGTAAATCAATGGATGGAAGATCTTCATCCCTGTCTCTCCTTTTTGTGTATTTGGCTTTCCAATTCAAATGAGATGAGATGAGTTGAGATGAGATGAAAAAATAACTTTAAAAAAAAGATTAAAAAGTAGTCCTTCCTTGAGTTTTAGATGTCCCCCTTTCTCCCTTACAGCTGGATCTATCTGCTTTTTTTCTCTAAACTGCCCGAGTCTGATGTATCTCTTAGGCAGTAATTGTAGTCCATTATCTAAAACATAATTCATTTCTCATGTGTTTAATGTTCCTGATTCGATTGTAAATGGCTAGAAGATGGGGACTATTACTGCCTATGCTTATATCCTATATTGCAAAAACAAAAACAAAGCTGCTTTGTATAAAAGGGGATAAATGATGTAATACATTGGCTTTATATTTCAGCTTCTTTGTCCAAAATGCAGTGCCAAGTTGGGTTCCTTCAACTGGTATGGTGAACAGTGCTCATGTGGAAGATGGATAACACCTGCTTTCCAAATTCATAAGAACAGAGTGGATGAAAAGAAAATACTGCCGGTTTTGGGATCACAAACAAGAAAAGTGTGAATGTGTGACATTTGTGAGCTTGGGAAGAAGCTTCGTGAAGATAATGTTCTGTCCCTGTTTTAATCACTCATGCCAGGTTGTCTAGTTTGTAAGCCATCAGCGTTTCAGTGGCAGTGTGAAAGGGGGAAAAAAAAATCACTTGATGTAACCGGGAACCTGCCCTGTTACTAGCTTATTGCATGATATAAGTAGAGTACATAGTAATCAAACCTTTTTTGCCATATAAATTTGTTACTAAAATATTTTATAATACAAACACTTCATTTAACATATTTTTGGACAGATGTCTCATCTGTTGATTCACTTTTCAGATGTTGTAGGCAGAGGCTAGGATGAAATTAAGAGCTAGAAAGAAACTCAGTCCATGTCTCCCACATGCATGGCAGGAGCCTGACAACTGGAGCCATAACCTGCCTTGGCCTGTATTTGCAGGAAGCTGGAATAGGAAGTTCAGCTATCACTTGAATTCAGGCACTCTGAAATGGGATGTGGAGTTGGAGGTTTCTTATAGCATTTTTACTGCTCCAAATGCCTGCTCCTAAATTTAATCTTTGAATTACATTTTTCCATGTACTTGTTAAAGTCCCTCATAGTTTTGGGATTTTTCTTTCTTTTAATAGAAACTGGAAAACCTATTTATGTCTGGGTTTTTCTTAGAAATGTAAAAGGCCATCAATAAAACTGATTAGGATGTTTTTCCTGTTACTGTTCAGGAGTCTTACTTGTCCGTATTGTTTTCTAGTTCATTTTTGAGAAAGGCAGGGTGACAGTGATCTTCCATCTGCTGGTTCATTCCTTAAGTGCCTGTAACCGCTGAGGCTGGGCCAGGCTGACGCTAGATGCCTGAAACGCCATCTGGGTCTCCCACGGGGAGGAAGGGCCTAGATGCTTGAGGAGCACCTGCTGTCTCTCAGGATTGCATTGGTGGGAAGCTGTTCTTGGAAGTGGAGCCAGGACTCAAGTCCACGCATTCATGTGGGATGAACAGCTTGGCCCATTCTGCCAGAATATACTCCAAAAAATAGTTTATGTAGTTTTAGAGAAATGTGTTTTAAGGCACCTCTTGAAACATTCTACGTTAAAAAAAATGTATATGAAAGTTAGATACATTTCAAATGAAGATTAACATGGAGTTACGTATCAGTTACTCTTTTAGTTTAATATGGTTGAGTATTGGGGAAGGTCATAAATCCAGATCAATTTCTTAACTTGATCTCTCTGGAAACCAGAATTTTATTGATAGGTTGAAGTGGACCTAATTTGGTATTTTGACATACATGACATTAGCATTAGCTAATAAAGAGGAATATGTATATATAATAGCAAAATGGGAGTAATTTTTCAATGCCTAAGAGAAATGGTGATTCTCTTACAAATATCTAGCTAAATTTTTGGCATGCATGATGCTTTGAATGACTAGTGAAAACACAGGCCCTGAACCGTTTGTCAGCTTCCATCTAATAATTATCTTCTTGTAAGAAAAAATTTGCCAATTCCTGTCTTTTACAGAATCTGTCCAGGTTTTTACTGTATATTAAACAGGTGTCCCATATGAAAATTATCCCTTTTGCAGGTATAAAATAGTTGAGTAGCTATAGTTTCATATGGCTCAAGTTAATGTCTGTCATATATTGTAGCAGAAAGCACTCAGAGAGTTAAACATTTTATTTGAATGTACAGTTGTCAGTTCAGTAAATATTAACTGAGGATGTATTATGTATATAATTCTAGGTGATGCAATGAACAAACATGTTCATTTGAAAGATAATCAGTGGACACTGATTTTAGGAAACCCAACTTTTCTATGTGTAAATTCTGAAATTTTATAAAAATTCCATTGAGCAAAAATTTTAGATTTGAAGTTTTTTTTTTTTTAAGATTTATTTTTATTGGAAAGGCAGATATACAGAGAGGAGGAGAGACAGAAAGGAAGATCTTCCATCCAATGGTCACTCCCCAAGCGGCCGCAATGGCTGGAGATGAGCCAATCTGAATCCAGGAGCCAGGAGCTCTTCTGGGTCTCCCACATGGATGCAGGTCCAAGCTTTGGGCCGTCTTCAACTCCATTCCTAGGCCACAGGCAGGGAGCTGGATGGGAAAGGGGGCTGCTGGGATTAGAACCGGCGTCCGTATGGGATCCTGGCACGCTCAAGGCGAGGACTTTAACTGCTGTGCTATCATGTTGGGCCTCAGATTTGAAGTCTTAAAGGTTGATTTTTGAGGGATAGATAGGAAAGTCATTAAACCTCTGTTCTTTAAAAAGAAAAAAAAACTTTTACTTTTCAATATTACATTTAGGTGCAGTGAGTTAGGACAGTGGCTTCACTTCCATGTGTTGAGAATACCAATGTTAGCCTTGCAGGGAGAGCATGGTGATGAGGACATCACCGATGTAGACTTCAAAGACTGCGGGAACCATCCGGATTCTGCTGCTTACCGTCTGCTGGAGAGAGAGCACGGGGCTGACAACGGAGGGCCACTCTGCTCCTCCACAAATCCCGACAGGGTTGTTTTAAAAATTGCTGGGACCAGCATTAGTCCCTTCTTCTGCCTGGGTAATGGGAATTTTATGATACAGTGCAGGTAAAGATCTGGCAGGGTGGCTAGTTAGTAATAGTCAGCATTTCCCGTTAAAACAGCTGGAGTTTACTGAAACAACTCACATCTTATGCCAGTCACCATGCATAGCACTTAATGCCTGGTATCTAAACCTCATGCCAGTCTATGAGATAGACCCTCTTTTCATTTATAAGTGAAATTGAGGATTTGAAAGAGTCATTTCCAAGTTAACCCGGCTAGTAAATGGTTGAACCTAGGATAGACCTGACCAACTCCCAACATATTAGTTAATTTTAACCTCTCTGTTTATATATGCCTAAAGATACACTGAAAAGGTTGATCAGATTGTAAAGTCTAATAGAACTAATGACAGTGCAATTGAAATTAAATTGTAAACTCACTAGTCAGGCTCCTCACCAACATTCACAAGATTCTGACCAAAGAACAAATGGAGCCCCACAGTACTGTTTACCTTAATTGGTTAAAAGTAAATTATTTTTGTTCTTTTATCTTGGGAATTTACCTTCACAGGAGCCTTGAATTCAGCTAGGTTTCTGTTTTGGATTCTCTGATTTTATGCATTTGCATGGCAGAATGTGGCAATGCAGGAGAGTTGGCCCTTAATCTGTAAGCTGCTTTCTCAGAGGTGCTGTCCACCTCTTGATTTGTTCTGTATCTTGAGCCTGGAATGTGTGTGTGTTTGTGAATGTACATTTGGGTATACATATACAGAGTTTTGAAACCCATGGATACTGTAAAAGTCTGTAGAAACTGCAGATTTCAATTTTTTATTTTTGTGCCAAAATAAACTATTTTTCCAAGAAATTGTTTGGGTTGTTTGGAGAGTTAGAAGCATGTCTAGAGTGGGGCATGTGTTCTAGTTGGATTTGTCACACTGGCAGTATTCATTCTTACCCCTGGGAAGAGAGCCAGGAGACAGTAAATTCCTGTAATATTTTTGAGTCTGGGAAAAGATTACTCTTGAGTAGATCAAAAAGTAGTGATTTCTTTACACGAAATTCTTTTTTTTTTTTTTTTTTTTTATTACCAAGTCAGATATACAGAGAGGAGGAGAGACAGAGAGGAAGATCTTCCATTCGATGATTCACTCCCCAAGTGAGCGCAATGGCTAGTACTGTGCCAATCCAAAGCCAGGAACCAGGAACCTCTTCTGGGTCTCCCACGCGGGTGCAGGGTCCCAAGGCGTTGGGCTGTCCTCAACTGCTTTCCCAGGTCACAAGCAGGGAGCCGGATGGGAAGTGGAGCTGCCGGGATTAGAACCGGCGCCCATATGGGATCCTGGCGTGTTTAAGGCGAGGATTTTAGCCGCTAGGCCATGCTGCAGGGCCCACAAAATTCTCTTTGAAACTTAATTTCTAGTGAATGTGGGGCTGGCACTGTAGCAGTGCTGGCATCCCATATGGGTGCCACTGCTGATATACCTGTGAGAGCACAAGATGTCCCAAGTGCTTGGGCTCCTGGACCCGTGTGGGAGACCCATAAGTCCTGGCTTTGGCCTGGCCCAGTCCAGTAGAGCTGTGGCTGTTGCAGCCATTTGGGAAATGCGTGAGCCTCTACTCTTTGTAATTCTACCTCTCAAAAATTAATGAAAGAAAAAAAGTGAATAAGGAATAAAGAAAAGGATGATAACACATTTAGCACTTTGAGAAGATCATTAGAATGGAAGAAAGCTTCCTCACGGAAGAGGAAATAAGATTTATAGAAAACATGAATTATAATCACACCTTTGTAGTGGCAAAAATCGTTAAGTCTGACTTCAGGTAATGTTGGTGAGTGAGGAACAAATTATCACTGTTAGCAAAAGGGGTGAACTAGTCTAACCTGGGAGATGGTAATACTCTTGCATTCCTACTCAGCGAGCATGCTAAAGACATTGCTGCATTTTAGGTAAAAAGTAATCCATTGAAACAAACTAAATAGACCTATACAAAGATACATTTTAGGTAAAAAAATAATCCATTGAAACAAACTAAATAGTTGTCATTATGAAAATGGGAAGAGACACTGTGATACATCTATTCAAGGACACATCTAAAATATGGATGAATTGTCAAAAAGTAATGTTGAATCAGAAAAGTAATCTGTAGAAGTACAAATTTTACAGTAATGTTAAATGTATACATATTTAAGCATAGTAAAAAAATTAGAAAGAAATGGGTAGAAAGATTTCTGCAGCTCAAAAGTTGCCTGAGTAGACAGGGAAATGAGGCAGAGGACAAGAGTTAAACTTCAACATATGTGTTTTCATTATGTAAAAAAAAAAAAACCACACTGAACAGGTGTTTATAGCTGTTCATTCCTGATGGATACACAAATATTTGTCTCATTACCTGGAGTTTTTGAATAGCAAAACTTTGAAAATTAAACCGGTGAAAATGATGTTCAGTCATGGTGTTCTCTTTTTAAGAGAAGTCTTTTTAAGACTGAGGTGGCAAATATAGAAGATTCCCTGATTTAGTTTTCATGTTGACTTCCCAATGCGCAATTGGCTGAGAATATGAATGTTATAAACTTCACCATAAATGAAAACCCTATTGAAAACTAAACTGAAAAGAATTGGATGATGAAAGAAGGAATCACATTTCAGGGTAGGGGATTTCGTGAGATTTTTTTTTTCCCTTGGCTGCTGGAGTCCAGGGTTAATTTTGCATTATGTAATCCAAAGAAATATACAGCCACGAGGAGTTCAGAGAATTCTGGGAAGTATTTCTGTTTTGTTTGCAACCATGGGAAAGATTCCTCTTGGTCCTAGAAGGATACCTGTTCTTAAGATACTTGATTCACGGGCCACTGAAATTTAAAAGGACTTAAAAAGAAATTAATCTCTGGACTTTCTCAAACAGTGCGCATTTTCAGATGAATTTCGTGTGTGTAAGTTTCTTTAAAATTTTTATTAATAAAAAGATGGGTAATTTATTGCAGCCCTCAGAAGAGGTTCCTTCGTTGTTTTTTTTTTTTTTCTTGTTGTTTGCTAAGTACTGTGCTTTAGAAATTCATCCTGAGGACACAAGTATGAGCGGAGAGTTTATCTTTTATGTTTGCACTGTTTAAATAAAAGTAAGCTTTCTGAAGTCCGATTCATAGTAATGCCTACCTCTGATGCAGCCCCACCAGGGGCCATTCTAACGAATGCGGAATAATTGTGTGTGTTTGTGTGTGTTGCTTTATCCATTTGTGTATTGGATAATTTTTACATCGATAATTATTCGTAAGAATTAAACCAAATATTACTGTTACTCTTTAATTTGGTTCCGACAAATCTACGGTGTGGTAACTGAGAATGATCGGGGAATCAGCAATGGGCTCTACTTTTTCATCTTTAAAATTATCGGTAAACTCTGTGTAGGCGGGTCTTTCCTCACCTTAAGACAGGGGGGCGGAAAGTGCTGAAAAGTCCCAAAAGGAAATATTTACTCAGGGCAGCGCTGAGCCGGGCTTCGCTGACGTTCTCGGGGCCGGCCCCTCGCCCTCACGCGGCGGAAGCAGTTTGTCTTCAGTCGGCCACCGTTGCGTCAGCATCCCGGGGTATTTTGTCCGCTCGCCGCCGCCGTCTCAGCTTATTAGTCACTGAGTTCCAGGGCTTCGGAACTTGTATTTGGGGTGAGCCGGCTAGTGTTACCGGCATCATGGAGTCGCCCTTTAGCCCGGGACTCCCTCACAGGCCAGATGAAGACTGGGGTAAGTGGGACCCGAGGCAG